AGTTGATGTGAATATTAGGAACTATGAAGCGTGAATTTGACAAGACAAACAGTGCATGTCTAGCAATTTCCATGAATAGGATCATAAGAGAAGGAAAACAAAACCCAGCAGCTGAGGCTGGTGGGTGGCAGGAGGGAGCTCAGCTCCAGCTGCTTGGCTGTGAGAGGGTCTGTGCTGGTGCACAGTGAGAATGCAGGAGAGGAGTTGCTGGATATTGGGCAGTTTGGCTAAGGAGTGCTGTGTAGTCTTCAGGGGAGAAACCTGAAGTCTGTGGTTTCCAAGAGGTAACCAAGAGGAGCAGACAGGTTTGTCAGGATGAAGGTGGAGCTGGATGGCTAGGTTATTCAGGAGAGCAGAGTAGAAGAGAGGCACACTTCCATCCTGTTTGGAGACTCGTGTCTCTGGAGGACCAGGGTGAACTGCAGTGTTAAACACCCTTGGGAGGTTCAGGCTACCTCCAGTTCCTCTTGTGTCCCTAATCAGATCCAGTGAGGAAGCTGAACTGCTGGGAGTCACTGCCAGAACATTTAAGATCATACTCCTGCAGGAGGCAGGAGCAAGCCCTCCAGGGCCTTATGCAAAACTTTTCACCCCTCCAGAACTAACTCTCAAAATTCAAGACTTGGCCTCCAGCTAAGCTATAGCCAGATCATCCTTTCCTGGTGCCACTCACTTCTTGGTCTCAACTCACAAATTCTCTCTTAATAGCAAGCAATATTTTAAAATCGTTTGAACTTGGCAATGACTGACTAATATCTTGCAGGAGGGAAGAAAGATACTGGTTGATCTTTACATTATAGTGCTATATACCACAAATAGAGGCTACACAGCTGTTGTGAGAAAATTACAGCTAATGTTGGTTAGTGCAGTCACTTCTGAATCAGAAACAAGGAGAACTCTTCAGTTCTGCTGTTTCTTTCTAGTCTGTGTTTTATAATTCTCCATGTTCTGGACTTCGCTCTGGACAAAACTTAATACAACCCTGTGACGTACCACAGACTGGGAGGATAATGATTTGTTTCTTAAATGTTATTGCAAAAGTCAACAAATCATTACTGGGGTAATAAAAGAGAAGGTTGGGAACAGAGATTTGTTGTCACAGCAGATTTTTCAGGACCTAAGAAATGTCATTTGAGAACAGGAATCACTTGCTCTTCATTGACCTACTGAGAACAATGTAACATCCCACCTGACTTTCTCTTCATCTTTCTCCTCACTTGTCTTTTGGCATCTCATGGAAGAAACAGTGTGGAGCACTTGGCAAAAATCTGCCTTGATTTCTGTGTGACACAAGGAGGTGAGTTTTTAAGCTGCACCTTTTAATGACTGGTATTTGTAGGATAAAGCGAAATCACCTGAAATATGTCAGAAGTCCTATTTAAGTACCACAGGCTGGGAGCATAATGATTTGTTCCTTAAATGTTATTGAAAAAGTCAGCAAATCATTGCTGGTGTAATAAAGGAGAAGGCTGGGAGAAGAGATTTGTTGTCACAGCAGTAAATGGAAAACTGGATGCCATTTCCTAACTTTATGAGTTTTGTAAAGTGCACTTTTAAAAGGAAATGGAAAGAGTTGTTATTAGCTCAGGGTTGGTTTGGTTGTTTGGGGTTTTTTTTATAATTTTCTAATGTTTACTTTACACATCTGGACACAAAGGGAGAATTTCCATTTTGCTAGTGTTCAGAGTGTTGTGACGTTTAGTGGGGAGCCCCAGGTGAGAGCTGTGTCTGATGTGAAGCCAAGTGATTCTATCATTCTGTGATTCCTCTGAGCTTGCCCAGTTTAGACAATCTGAGGACCGTGTTACATTACAGCCATTTTATATACCTTATTAGTAGCTAAAGATTTAATCCAATGTGGTCCTAAACCAAAAGTAAGCCTTACCTTTGATGCTGGTGAAGTGGTGAAGAGTACAGGGCACAACGAGTGAGCCTGGCTCTCTTGGGCATCTAGGCTGTCTGTCCATTCACTTGCTCTGGTTTAACTACAGTCATCTTTGAAGCAACTTGAGTCAAACTGAAGCACAAAATAGGACAAACTTCCAATTTATAGTGGCATATCTGGATTTTTCTTTAAGTGTCCAGTGTATGTTTATACCCCAGAAGTAGAGCTTCCCCAATTACAAGTATGTTCCCAGGGTTTTCTTAAACTGATGAAAGCTTGTTTATAGACAGAGCCCACTGGTGAGAACTGTGCTGTCCATGAGCAGCCTCGTGTCCTGCTTCTCTGTGTACCTCTTCCCCTGTCTGCTGTCCTGAGGTCTCCAGTCCTGCAAGAGCCTGTGGGGTTTAGCTGTGGGTCAGCACATCCCTCTAACCTCACTGCTAGGGCTTTCTATCTTCATTTCCCACACGTTTGTGGGAACTTCACCACTTTAGACAGGGATTCCATTTGGCCAAGCAGGTTAAAAGTTGCTAACAGGTCTGCAGAGTTGTGACAGATGGTCAGAATGTGCACAGTGTAATTGCCTCATCTCTTTTAGAAACCAGCAGAAACCAGAGCATTTATATAGCTGTGACCTTTACAGAGACTACTGATGTAGCAGCTCGGCTCAGTCATGGGGAGTTAGGACTCCTGGGCTCCTGTGCTGTGAGTGTCATTTCAGCAAACTGCAGGAGCAGTTTGATTTTCTCAGCCAAGTGTGTGCTCACCAACATCTTTCTTTCAGAACATGCCTAAAGAATGAAGATGTTCATGCATGGCCCTGGACAGCATTCTTCTGACAAGGCTCTTTGCATCTTGATGGTTGCTGCTTGTCTTTTCCTCCTAGCAGGTACAGTAACTCCTCTCAGGATTAACCATAGGGATGGTGCTGACAGTGGGTTCTGGGCACCCCCCAGCCCAAGAGATGTCTGCTGGTTTCCTGGTTTGTGCACACACCGTATATCTACAGAGGAGCTTGCTTTCCTCTTGCTCTGCTCCAGTGCAGCAGATATTCTTGCTCTGGACCTCTCCCTTCTCACTGCAGCTGGTACTGGGGTCCTTGTCTACCTCTGAGCATATGCTGACCTGCAGACCTACAGGTCTGGGCAGGATGCACATCCACCCTGGGATGCTGCTTCAGTCCGGGCAGAGGAGTCGGTACAAAAGAGAAAATATGGCAAGGAGTAAAATGCCAGGTTTTGGTTGCATCACAGCTGTTGTCCAGCTTTGGAGGTGAAAACCCTCTTGGTTTTGTCGTTGTTCGCTTGTTCCATTTTTGGGTGCCTTCTTGCATTTCTGTATGGATTTTCTAGTTTTACTTTGAACAATGTAAAATAAGAGCTGTGCATTTACTCACTTTGTAGTGTTCTGGGTAAAGCACGAAGCGATTTAAAGAAGCAAATTCCCAGTAATAATTCAGGCACTGAGTCAAACTCAGTAAGCTGAGTTTCATGAACACACCCAATACCCTTTCACTCCATTGCAAATCCCAGCAAAACAATATGTTCTATGTTGGTTTTTGTATTTCTTTCTTTGATTACTCCTCAAGAACAATGCAGGGCACAGAGATAATTTATGCTGCTAAAATGCACCCTGTAGCGCTGGGATCACTTCCAGCACACAGTACAGTGGAGGAAAAAATAAACTCTTTCCAAGTAAAGGCTCTATAATAAAAAAATAATTAATTTATGTCTAGGTCTTACCAAATGTACCCACTTTCAGCTAGGGCCAGAGTCTCCTGATCTATCTGCTGTAAGATACTGGAAGGCCTGACCTCTGAAGAGGTAGTTTCTCAGTGTGTCTCTGCTGGGATGCAACGGTGCTCTGGTAACTCGTGGAATGGGTGCCAGTTCTGCTCATTGTAATCCCACAGGGATTCTCATCTCATGGAGAAACCCATGGGAACTGCCTCCTTACCCCTTTAGGCCCTGCAGCTGATGGAAAGTATGGCTGAAGATGGCTGTAGCATTTTCTTGTGCTGTAATGAACTATTCACTGCTCAAGCTGTAACTGAGTAGCTACACTCACCTCTCTGCATCCCTAAAGCTCCACCACAGAGCTTCTCCTTCAGTCCCAGCACTGCCTGTGTGATTTCATGTGCAAGGGCTTGCTCCCACTAAGGCAGGGGCTGGCATGTTACTGGAGAGGTGCTAAACTCCCATCCCAGCCAGGGGCCTCCACCGAGTGGATGTTACACACTGCTGCTCTGAGTCCTATATACTCCCACTAAAGGGGAAAACAATTACCTTGGGTGCAAACCACTGTCACAGAGGAGTTGCAGCAGTGGAAGCTGGATGCTCCACCACACACTGGGGTGCTCAGTGGAGCTGATTTTAGAGCTGAGACAAACATAAAAGATAGCCAAGTGTTTTTATGTGTAATAGAAATGTTCTCTTTACGCTTCAAGCACACAAGGTTGTGCTAGGACAGCAATGCACCACTTCTGTTCACCTACAGGGAATTAGACTCTGCAGATGGATCATTTCCTACTTGCTTCTAATTTGAAGCGTGAGGAGCAGATGGGAAGTGTCAGCTACTTTTGCAGCCCACTACAGGTGTGACCTTTATTAGAAGTGCAAATAGTCACGAGAGGCTTATTGCTCAGTTTGGACTTGGGGGATTTATACCTAATTTACACGGCTGGCAATCAGGTTTGGAAAAAATTAAGTTCATTTGAAGAAGATGCTGCAAAAACAGCTTCTAGATATAAAAGACTCAGCTTAAAGGCAGTTCTTATCGAGAAGAAATATATCCTGCATTAGTGAAGCCCATGTAAACACGTGAATGTAATGGGAAGTTAAAGATGCAGAAGACCTGCACAGGAGGTTACAATTTGAATCTGAGTAATTACCACGGTGATGGTGCATGTGGGGCCACCTCACCCCCTGCAGAAACAGTCTGTTGGTGGCACATGGAGCTGGCTCCTGCCTTCAGTGACTGTGCTGCTGTCTAAGCGTGTTGCCTGTGGACTGCTGCTGCTCGGTGGCTTTGGGCACGCTCACAGAGGTTCATGCCTGGGGAAGGGACTTTGTTGTGTCTGGCAGCGACTGCAGTGGGACTTGCTGAGTAGGAGACCATGGCAAATCCAGGAGACAGAATGGAGATCTGTTTCTTATCATTACACTGGGCTGGCTCCTCTCCAGATATACAACAGACACTTAACATGGAGTGCAAAATCCAGATAAGCAGAGTGAATGACCCACCACAGCTTGCTGGTGTTCCTGCCAAACTGCTCCAGGAACCAAACTGGCTGAGTTAGAGCCATTGCAGCTACTATTCTGCTACTCTGCAGTCAGAGCTGGGGCCACTTGTGGGCAAGTTGCTGCCTGTGTAGGTCTGCAGTCAGTATTACTCAGAGAGGCTGCCTCTGTCAGCAAAACCTTTTGAGCAAGTTGTAAAGATATAATAAGATAATTGGAAATAATGAAGAAGAAAGATGCCCAAACAATTTCTCCAGAGCCTGAGAAAAGGACAATCTTTATGATTTTTACTTTTAGCAGAAACCTTGACCTAAAACCTGAAGGCCATGGCTGTGATATGTCACGTGGGAGCCAAAGCTGAAAACACTGCTTTGCCCAGCATGTGCTGAACTAAGACCTTTGCACTGGACACCCACACTGGTACTGGACCATGTGGACCCCAGACCTGAATTCTGTAATGAGTCCTGTTTGTCTCGAGGACTTTAACTTTTCCTTCACAGAATTAAACTCTTCTCTTTACTGGTAGAGTCAGTGGTCTCAGAATTAAATTTCAAAGGCAGCAAAAACTAGAAATAGAGGAAACTTCTGAATATTTAGTTAGCATTCAAGGACGTTCCCACTGTGAGGTCATACTGCAGCTTTCTCTCTGGAAGTGACACTTTATTTCCTTTCTTCACCCCCTTTCCTAATGCCGTTTGCTTACAGAAACACATTATCTGCATGGAGAAAGACTGGATTTACTGGGCAGGAATGATAAGTATGTGTCTCTGGTCAACATCAGCATCCCTCAGCTATGCCAGTTCACGGTGTGCATTGACCTGAACCGGGCTGCCAATGTCAGCTCTTGGGCAGCGTTTTCCTATGACACTGACAACGCCTCTACTGACATAAATGACATAGAGCTTGGGCTCTCTGGAGAAAACAAACAGTTGAGAGTCTATCTTTTTGGCACCAGACGAGACATTGAGATTGATCTGGCCCTTTCTGTGTGGTATAGCGTGTGCTGCTCCTGGGACAACAGGAAACAACTGCTGGAGGTCTACTGCAATGGTGATCTGATATATACCGAAGCCATGGGTGGAGCTGAGTGCCTGAAGCCCAAGGGTAGCCTGGTGCTGGGTCATCTGCACAGAAGAAAGGATGGCTTTATTGTGTGGGTCAGCAACAGCTTCATTGGCAGCTTGTACTACTTCCAAATGTGGGACCGTGTGATGGGTCAGGAAGAGCTGCTGGGCTGCACCATGGGCAATACTGTCAGCTGGAAGGAGGAGCACTGGAACTTCAGCAGCATCCCCCCTGTCACAGACCATGACCTGCGCTGCGGTGAGTCTCTGCAGTGGTTCCTCTTCATGGGGCTTGCGTGTTGCCGGGGATCACGCACAGAGCAGGGAACCCTCCACTGCTCAGGACAACAGGGATTGTCTAACTGCCTCTGAGTCACTGCTACTGTGACTGAGACCAGGAGTGGACAGAGCTGTAGCCATGCATAGGACACTGTTACTCGCTCACACAGGCTCCTCTTGAGGCAGGTACTGATGTTGTGGATGAGGGAAAGCTGGCAGGGGCAGGTTCTGCCACTGAAATCCCAGGGAGGCTGCTGCCAAGTGGCATTTTTTAGATGAATCTTCTAAGGGTTCATCATTCTGCTGGGGCACCAACCTGCTACTCACCTAGCCTGACATTGAGCAAAGGAGGTTGGACACAGATATTTGCTTCCAATATGTTTAACAATATTTAACTAGAGCCATTAGTTAGATTATAGTAATTACTTTTCCACAAGACTCCTGTTGTGTGTCCTAGAGGGATGTTGCTTCAATGAAAGAACTCTCAGCAAAAGCACTTTGGTAGTGTTTTGGGTTATCTCATCATTCAAGCCTGATGTCTGTATGTACTACACAGTACTTAAATTACACAGTATTAAAACAGAGGACCAAGACTGACTGATTGACTAATTAAGGTAAAACTAACAACATGCTATGATATTTAGGTGCTCTACAATAGCAGTGAATGCATCTTTAGTAATCATCTGTAAGTTGATGGCTTCATGGCAAAAGCAGAGGCACAGTCAGAAGTAATTGGCCATTTCAGGTGTCGATTTTGAGAATTCAAGGAGCATCCCACCAGACAGCACATGTCTGTCAAGTGCAGCACCCACTGACTTCACCGCAGCTCCCGCTGCACTTTGCCATCTCCTGCTCCAGGTTTCATTGAACCAGAGTCCCACTCAGTGAGAAGTGCATCAGGAAATCACCAACTGCTGCTGAAACCTGTGCTCTGAGGGTTCCCCCACCACCACCATTGCACAGCCCCTTGCTCTGCACCAATGAATGCAGGCACTAATAACAATTGCTGTAAATTCTGACCTTCCCATCTCTCTCTTGCCTTTATCCACTTGTCCTCTTTCTGCACTGCCTGTTGCTGGAGCTATTTCCCCACTTATGTCCTGACTGGGAGTGGGACATGTTCTGATGAGGAGGGAGGAGGAAGGCTCTGTTTCCCTTTTCCAATTAACACCTTTGCCCTCGGGCCCATCTGTTCTGTGGGAAAGGCCTGCACTTGGCTTGGCAGGAGTTGTGAGAAGCTTCATCATGTTAGCTGATGAAAAATTTAGCACCTAAATTAAAAGCCTCTGCTCAGTGTTCCCGTGCTTTGTTTTTTTCAAAAACAATAACCTGGATGAATTTGAGCAGCTTTTTAATGAGACAGAGCATGTTAGAGAGAGGCTTTCAATGGTCAGGTTAGAGAGAGGCTTTCAACGGTCAAAGCCTTTTCTTCCTCCAAAGTAGTCTCCAAGAACCAGGCCATTTCCTCTAGTTCATAGACTCGTAGGACAGTTTGGGTTGGAAGGGACCTTAAAGATCATCTAGTTCCAACCCCCCTGCATGGGGGGTGACACCTCCCACGAGATCAGGTTGCTCAAAGCCCCATTATTAAGGATTCTCCAGTGCAGCCTGAATTAGACATTCAGTCTGGAAGATGTTGGCCCAAATATTCAAAGGTTATCAGCAAGGGGAAGCAGCAGTTTTGGTCTCTGAACTACACCAGCAGTAACAGAGGCTGCTCTTGCCTGTGGTCCCATGGACTGCTGGATCCACACTGTGTTCCACATGTGGAGAACAGCTACTGGAATTTGACATTTTCCCAAGAGCAATAACTAAGATGACTGTTGTGAAGTCCTAGTTACAGAGATGTTAATAAATTCTAATCATTTTTGAGAATGTAGTGTCAGATCTCAGCAAGACCTTCACTTCTGCTATAAATCTGCTCCTTTAATTAGCTGAAATTCATGCAATTGCACAGAGATATACTGATGATAGGCAGGGATAACAGTGAGTGGTGTAAATCCATACTGAGATTTAAGTCCTGTCTGTCAAATAGGGGAAGCTGCATTTGGCTGCAGTTTCTATGGGACATCATACATACTGAGTCTATGTGAGAACATCTGGGGTATGTGTATAAGAAAGAGTTGTGCCAGAGTGTTGGGATGTAGTGAAATGTCATAGGGAAGTGCCACTAAAATGCTCATGTCATGACTCAGGTTGCCAATTAGGCCCTGTAACAATTACTAGCTGAAAGGTTTGCTTCTTGTGTTTCTATTGTTTATAGACCTGTGCATTGCTTGGTTCACCTTGACAGTAGAAAGCTTATACAGTTGTGCTGGGAAGTTGGGCAACCTCCTTTGTTTTGGAAATCCTACCTTACTTTTGGAAGGCCAGGGCTCATTTAGGCAGAGTGAGTGAAACTTCTCATGTGAATGTAGCAGGAAGCAGCCGTAAGAAGGTGTGTTGACTTTTTAAAAGTAATACAATTATCATAGCAATTTCACTGGCTTTGCTTGGTAGTAGGAGTAAAGTTATTGTTCAGCCTTTGTTTTTTTCTCAGAGTTCTTGAAGATGATCTGTTACTTTTCCAGCTCAGCTGTGCCTTTGCTAAAAGTGTAGAAGTAAAAGCATGTGTTCTCATCCTCTCACTGACTCACAGTCTTCATCTCTTCCTCCCCCTTCCTCACCCACACACTGATTTTTCTTCTTAATTTTAAATAATCTGGGAAAGAGATGAATATAAAATATCTCAAAATGACTGCTAATAATATAGAAATATATTTATTACCGTTCTCGTATTGGTTGGTCTAATTTTTGCTGCTCTTCTATTGGAAACCATACATATTTACAAGATGCCAAGTAAACCATTTATTAAATTATCAAATCAAAATCCATGACTAGGACTTTTAAAATGTCAGCGGTACAGTATTTTTCTAGCTTCAGATCTCATCTGTCATCACGCCCTAGCCCTCCTTTCATGAATGGAATGACATGCATGTTAATTAAAGCAAATGAAGTTGCAGGGTGCAGGTGGCTAGTCCCACACCTGCCTGCTGGTAATGATCCTTGACATGTGAGAAGAAACAGATTTTTTTTTTTTCTTCAGGTGATAATGAGAAAGAAAGAAATTAGAATCTGTGAGATTGTAATTATGCTTCATTTGTAAGGAGATGAAAACGCACTGTGAATTACACTCCTCATTAGCATGGGTTTGTGGCTGTTTGGCTATTTCTCTTTTTTTTTTCCCCTAGGATTTTTTTTATTATTATTTTATCCTGGCTGACGCTGGATGATATCATACATCACCCCTGAGGCAATGGGTTTTGAAACATTTTACTGCTCACAACAGGAACAGAGTGGAGCCTATAATCACTCAGCTATATGCAGATTCCTCCTGTCTGGAGAGGATCTGCAGCACTGTAACAATCAGAAGGACAAGTTAAATCCTAGGCGTTAAACGGTTTGGTCTATGGCTTGATAAATCAAAGCTTAATGTGGCTGTATTTCTGAAAGGAAAGAAAAAAGAATTTATTCCAGTGATAGGGCAAGTCATAGAGTCATAGAATGTATTGGGTTGGAAGGGACCTCTAAAGGTCATCGAGTCCAACCCTAATGTCTGCACAGTACTGGCCCTTCTGCGTTCTCCTCACACTTACACTGTGACACCAATTCTTGAAAAGAGCTTGTAACAAGACATTCATTTTCTATGAGCTTGAAACCAGGGATTAATTATTTGTCGCATCACACTGGGGCTCACAGAACCCATTTCACACCACTGGAAGGCATACAGGTTTCCACTAGAAATTTAAACTGTGGGATTGAAGTAACAGGATTCTGGAATACCTGTCTCTGTGCAGCACTGGGGGTCAAGTACTCTAGGTTTGCTTCTTCTATTCTCATGATAGTGTGTTGTGAGGATGGGGAGGGCTTGGTGTGCATGGGAGCTGATGGAAAAAGCACACCCACTTAGTTCCAGGTCCTTCTGTTTTCTTTAGAGGAGTTGTTTTCCTTTGTCTCTAGGGTTTTGTTTTTAATTTAGTAGATACTTCAGGCTTCTTGCTTCCTGCATATTCAAGTGTATGTTAAGCAGTGTTAGTGGCTGTTGGTGGGAGGCCTTTGTATTGAAGCTCTGGGTCTGACTTGCAGCTAGGTCTTTTCCAAATTTAGGATCAGCAAATAGCCATTATGTCAGGTCATGTTTCTGACCTATGGTAGGCAAAGGATTTGAAATGGCAATGTGGCAGCTTGCTCCCAGACTGGCTAGTGTCTTAATGGAAGGGTGAAGCAGATTAAATTAGTCCTTTTTTTTTCTATCGGTTTACTACCACCTCAGAAGCAAAAGGCCTGAGTAAGGAGATGTCCAAATGAAAATCTAAGCTTCACCAAGCATCATGGGGAAAGCAGGCTTTCTATTTTTACAGCTTTCTGTAAACCCTGGGAGCAGAAAGGACTGTGCTACAAAGAGCTCTGCCAAAGCAAGTTTCTGGACAGTTTGATCTTTTGAACAGCTCGTGCATCTTTCCTGCTTCCCATCCCGCTGGCTCCAGGTGTGGAAGAGCCTCCTGGCTCAGTTGTCGGACAGCTGTGAGCATGCTGCCTCTGTTGCTGATACCATGGGGGCTGAAACTGCTTTCCTAGATCATGAGATGATACCAAAACGCAGACCAGCACCTCTGAGGAGCATTTGGAGGCTGAAGGCCTGAGCTGAAGACTGAAGGGTCTGAGCTTAGTCTTCAAGAGCCAACCTTGGAGAGATAAGTCAGAGCTGGACTTCTAATAGCTTTTTTTGTCCTCTTGTTCATGAAGTTGGAATTCAAGAGATTGCTCTGGTTTGACTTTGTGATGAGTGTAGAACTTGTGGTTTCATGCAAAGGGTAAAGTTGCTTGTTTGTCTAGGAAGCAGAACCTTGTGTGCTGTGCCATGCCTATGCAGAAGGGGCTTTTGACTTCGCCTGTCCTTTCAGGTTCACAAAGTAATCTGAAGCTATTTAAGATAGAAATCGGAGGCTTCAGGTTGTTAACAGCCCCTGTTTCTGTTACTGTCCATGGAGGTATGGCCATTGATTTGAATGGGTCAGAGAAGGGTTGTTATATTTTAAGCATGGGTGATTCTCTTTATCTTGAACTACAGTACAGAAAACAATATTTTATGAAGCGTGGCTTTATCCTACTTATTTCCAACCACACTCCTTATTCACAGACATTTGGTTCCGTATTCACAGGGTAAATTTATTTCTTTTAGTCAGAGCTAGAATGTCAAGTCTCTGACAGTCATGTGAGTGAAGAAAAACCCACAAATTACCAGCATAGCAAGGAAATGGTACCTCTAGAGCAAAATCTTATGATCCTGCTTTTCTGTCATCCCTGAGGCCTATAATGTTGTATGGTGATTTGGTTCACTGCATTTTTCTGTGGTACATGGGACAAACATCACCCATTTTGTCCCTGTCTCCCTGATGATGTGGCAGATTGCCTGTGAAATGCAAAATCATATTTGGCTTGACAAGGTGATTCACTTCAAGGAAAATTAGCTATGAACAAATTCTTGGAATTCTTTACTTTGAAAACAACAGGCAGGATGGCCAGCATTTACAATGGGAATCCTTATGCCAGGTTATCATTAAACCAGAGACCATAAATATCAATGTTCATCTCGCGTGGATTGCTGCATGTTAAGGCATTAGCATTCAGTATCTGACAAGTGCCTTTTCCTGAAGGCTGGCACAGGTTACATGAGCAAGAAGGAGACAGAGAGGTAACTGCTCTTCAACAAAAGCAATGAAGAAGATAATATTGCAGGATGCCTGGTCTTCCTTGTGCTCTGAACTCTTCAAATCCTGTCTTCTCACTTGTTAGGCTGTAGTTACCTTGGGAGAAATTAAAAACCCAACCATACACAGGTGTATGTTCCTCCTTTGCCTTCACCCTGCAGGGGTCTGTGGGTCAACAGCAGCTCTTTGTTACGGTGACCTTCTCTGAAGGACTCCTACCCCTCTCTCACCTGGACTATGTTCTTCCTTACACTTTTCAGCAGGCTCAAGTGAAACATCCTCAGGAAGGGCTCCTACACTGCCCCCGTTCCCTCCGACCCGTAGTGCCAATGGCTCCATTCCACGTAAGTGCTGAACAAGGACATTTTAAATGCTGACATGCTCATCACTGACACTGCTGCCTTACATGTGACAAGCTAAGAGCCAGTCACGTGTTTAAGCTATTGCTGCTTAGCAAGGTGTTGTATGTCAGCAGATCCTCCTGTCTCTTCCTGTGCATTCTTAGGCAGTAAAAGCCAAATTAGCACACCCACAAGTATAAAACAACTTGTTTGTTAAGCTTTGATAACCTGACCACGTGTTTGGGCCTTTAGACTAGAAATTTAATAAAATTCCTAGCAAGACATCAGTAATCTAGACTTGGGCACTTAGAGTTTGGGATTGCCCAAGAGCCTTGGTGACCATGGGAATGGGAAACACAACTGTGGTTCAGAGGGTGAGGAGATGGAAAGGGGCACAGGCACCTTCTGTGCAAACTGCAGGAAGCATCTCACTTATGTTCTCTTCTTACAGTCAGCTTCTTTAACGTTGACACGAACTTTTCTCTTTTCTACACAACTGAGAGAGTTCCTGATTACTATGATGCAAGGAAGCTTCTTGAAAACTGGGTAAGTAGCTTTCTTTTCTCATTCTCATGTATTCCTAGCAAGTATCAGATTATGAGGACAGCTGGTACAGAATGCAAACTGAGGGGACAGCACAGAAATTGCATGTCACAGTACTGTGATGTTTCAGAATCATGTTATCCAATGCATTTTTAACAGGATAAAATTAATTCTGAAGGAAAGGAATAGTTTTGACATTTTGTAAAAATTTTTAGCCTTTTTCATTGGGATTTAGAATTTTGATGACAATTCTAAGTTTACAAGAAGATCTGCATAAAGTACTGATAATTCAAGTTAATAAAAACGTTACTGTTTTCTTTCCAGTTTAGTATTGTATTTACTGGAGAAGAATTTGTTGTGACAAACTTTAAAGTCAGGTAAGCCTCTGGCTGCATAGTTGTGTCACCTTGACCCTCTGTCCTTTGAGTGAAACTGCAGCCAGGTTCCAAATACCCATTTCACAACTGACCAGTCCTGTGACAAGGGTGTAAACCAAACCCCCAGATCTGCACAACTGTGCTCATGTGGAACACTCACACCTTGTTTGCTGGGCTCATTCACCCGAAAATCCATACCCTGCCTAATGCAAGGCACGTAGCTGCTGCCAAACCGAGACCTCGTCTTTGATCATATACATTGGCTCATGACAAAGATGAAATCTTTGCTGCCTCTGCAGTGTGTGAACAATGAGTCAGGAGGGCTGATGTATCTGTTACACCATCCTGGCAATTCAAAAAGTACAGAATTCTTGCAGGAGATGTAAAGTAAGGCAGAGCACTGGTACCTGCAGGGCTCACTCACATTCATACTGCTGGAGCCCTGTTTCAGCCATGAGTGCAAAGGAGTTTAGGGGTCACATCCACCACAGAGTGAGGGTCACAGACCCCGAGGGCCATCTCGTTTGTGTAAGTAGGTACACACTGGCTTTTGTGTGGCAGTGTCTTATGGAAGAATATTATACTTCCAAAACCTTGCTCAGAAAGAATGGTCTGTTGCACAAGGCTTTTTTATTTCATCCCTTTTAGCCCAATGCAGCTGTATTCATACCCGAGCTGTGAGCAGTTGAGAGGGGTACTCAGCAATTCATAGAAGTATCACTTTTACAGACATGGAGTTTCATCATTTTATGCCTATTTCAACTTCTACTTTCTTCTCTGACTTCCACAGTTACTGCTTGCTTTACAAATGACAATATAGTAACACACTGCACTATTTACATGAGCTGAATCTGGCTCAGAAAACCATAAGAGAAGGGTGGGTCCCATTCTGGAAGAAGCATTTTTTGGCAGGGTGCATACCTGCTGCAGCACTTGGTCCTGGTGAATTACATAGCTTTACCTAGGCTGAGTTTGAGATGACTTCTCTTCTGCAAGGTCTGGCTCACTGTGGTCACAAGATGCATTTTTTTAGGTGATACAGAATGGGTCATATTATATTTATATACTTATTATGAACGACTAATTATTCTATTCTCTTTTGCTTGCAGGGGTAATTATCCACAAAGCAGTGTCTATAAGAGGGTTCATGTATGTAATTTGTTATTTTCTAATTTAAAAACTTAATTTTTCTTATGTCTGTATAAAAGATATAGTAATTGCATGGTTTAAATGCTGAACTATTGTGTTTTGATGAAACTATTAAATATTGACCTTTGATCTGGTAGGTGTACCCCATGTAAATTGCTGGGCTGGAGAGACACTGTGTCTTAACAGATATTGACATGTCCCATGCAGGCAGAGGAATGCTGGATGTGCCCAGCAATCTCTACAAGGTTCTCTGCATGAGGCAACATCAATACACTATGATGCTCTGTTTTATCCTGATGTACCTCTAGGAGTACTGTGAAACAAAGGTGACTGTAGAGTCCAGTTCCAATAACTTTTAAAGCAACAGGCTCTCTTTTAATGAATACACTGAGTTTCTGCTGTTTGCTTTCATTCCACCTTACACCAAGATGATTCTAACAGCTTTTAACTTTTTGTGTGCTTCCACGTGAACTGAAGATGAAGGTAGAGCAGATGTCACAAAGGTAAGACCCACGGTTATGAACAGAGTTCTTATAGTTTATAGTGACTTATTTTTAGGATGAGGAGGAATTCTACCCCACCTCAGCTGTTTTAGTTTCAGAATAAGTGGAACCTTTAGTTGTATAAAACAGAACAACACATGTAGAGTCAGAGCCACATTAGTGCTTGACTTAGGGAATTGTATTTTAGCATCCAAGGTTTCTGTCATATCTTGAGAGGCTCAAAGTGCTTCCATGGCAGGCTAGGAGGTTTGTGCTGTGCTGTAAGAGTTGGCTGGCTGTGAGCAGTATCCTTCAATGGGGCCAGAACAGTGAGTGGAGTGTCCAAGGAAAATGCCAGGATGAATCCTGCACCTCTTTTGTAGGAAATTAGAATTGACTTCTGACCTCAGGCCAGAAGAGGAAGGGGACCTGGCTTCCCATCACCTTCAAGGGGTTGCAAATGGTTTACAAAGGCCATGTTGAGTGGAGAGCAACTGTGTAGAGACAGGAGTGAGTTGGAAACACTTGAAACATCCCAGGCCTAAGGAAATCTCACTTACTAGTGCTCAGTTAAATTAGAGGTCCATTGAGGTGGCTCATCCACAATTGAGAGCTGGCTCCATGCATCTGTCTGGCATGCCATTCAAAGAGAGATATGGTCTTTCCAAACCTCTTAAAGTCAGCAAACATATTTACCCAGAAGAATAGCTGTTTTGAGGAGAGAAAGCTGGAAGCCAGTGGAGATACTGAAAGCAGTTTCTTAAAGCTCAGTTTCCAGGGGGCCTTGGAACCTGCTGCCTCTGTTTGGACACAGGGGTACTCAAGGACCTATCATTTTATGACTAGTTCACTCCAAACTTTAAAACATGGTTGAAAATTATTACTTATGACAGAGAAGTTCCTTTGAAAAGATAACATGTTTAGGAAACCTATTACCATGAAACCATAAAAAGATTCTCGTATCAGTATTCCCAACAGTTTGTACTTGAGAAAGCATTTCCAGTGATAAGGTCCTAGTGTATGTAAGAAGTGGCATTTGTTGACATTGGCCATAGGACTGCACTTATGGTGAGCAAAATACAGACATAACTTATCCAATTTGATACAATTTTGGGGGTTACTCCTTAATTTTGTAGCCACTTAAATTGTGAAGTGTTACTAATATGGTACCCTTGTTTGTGTATTATATTTGCAGCTACATCTGTAAGGCCATTATAAAGGCCACATCACTTGAAGTACAAGAAGTTCTGAGTCTCAAGATCAAACAGTTGTTCAATGACACTTACAAAGAGGGACCATTATCCTTATATGTGAAACCTGGAGATGTGGCTATCAAGCCAATAGGTAATACTTCAGTAAGACCTCTTTGGAAATCATGTACTTTGTAATTCTGGCTACAAGCATTTTATCAAATTTAAATTTTGTGCAGAGGTTAGGCTAGAAAAAAAGTCCTTACAAGTAATCCAGACTGACCTCATCTGAAGGGCAACCTGTAGAACATCATCCAATGATAGGAAGATCAAAAAATTGGCTTCCAGACAAACAGGTAAGCTGAAACTTGAGTCCTGGTGCCAGGGAAGGTTGAAGCATCTTTGCAATGAAGGCAAGGTGAGGCTGATACAGCAGCAAGTCCAGGGGCCCCTGCTCATAAATAGCCAGTACCCCAGAGCCTGGCTATTGAGGCAGGTCAGAGCCAAACACCAAAACCAAAGCCACTGCTGACATTTGCTTAGTGCTAGTGCACATTGGATCAAGCCTCGAGTCACAAATAATCTCTCTTGGTTTGGTTACAATCTCTGTCCCTCCTTAAAAAACAGAAGCAAGCCAGAGATAAGAGCTAGCAGACTGTACTTGAACTTAAAAAAACAGAACCAGAAACATTTTATACTACAGACTTACAAAAGTTCAGCTGCAGACAATAAAACTACAAGCCTGGAGGAAAGACATTGATAGGATAATGAGGGCAGTGTGAAAGCTAGATAGAGATAGATTAGAAAAGCCTGTAGGATGTACTGTCATTAAATATGGTTTGTAATGCTGGGAAGCTGACACTTATTTCAGAAATGACCTTGTCAAACAAAACAGAAAAAATTGTATAAAATCAGAGAAAAATATTTAAGCAAAATGTTTTCTTGAAGCTACTAAACTTGTAGAATACTCCTATCAAATCTGCAAATTACAGCTCTTTCCCATCAGGAGAGGAGGTCCCGAGAGCAGCGAGGTCCCTGGCTGTCAGGAGGGGGGCTCTTCTTCTGAACTAGGAAATCTTTTTAAAGAGCTTTTACGTATTTCTTCCTCAGCACTAATGGATTGTCCAGAAAGCTTTTCACACACGACCTACAAGGGGAATTATTCCTGGCCAGTAACGAGTCCAGCTACCAAAGTGGAAGTCAGCTGCAGGAAGAACCCTCTGCAGTTGGCTGAGAGGAGCTGGTGAGTGATGAGATCATCCCATTTTGGTTCTCAGATCATCCCATTCTGGGTCTCGCATGGGAAGTGGGAGGGAGCACCCCGCCTTGTGTGATGGGAAAGCAGCTGGTGCTGTGTCCTGGCACACAGCAGTGCTGTGCCAAGGAAGGTGCAAAGCATACAGGGCCAGTCCAGCCTGGGCTGCAGGAAGAGGAGCGTTGTGTCAGCCCCATCACCTGCAGCAGGGGAAGCCAGCACAGCATGAGGCCAACTTGCTGCTTGAGCAGGGGGGAAGCAGATGCACTGTAGCATTCTGTGCCATTGATTTATGGCTGTCTGCCCTCCAGATGCATTTCAAATTGCTCTGGCATTTGGGCTCTGCTCCCACTCTGCTAAATGAGTGCTAAGTCAAATCTGTCTTGCAAGTCAGTTTTCAAAATTGGGCTAATTAATTACATTCTTAGCTACTTAAATGAGAAATATGAAGAATATCAATTATGTATTTTTTTCTTTAAAAATGTACACTATTTTTATTTTTCAGTGCAATAAATATTGAACTTGAGCAAGCTTTCTGGAAGAAACCAAATATGACTGCATGTAAATTACTGAAAGAACTTCCAAATAATATTTTAGACCTCCATGATGTCACAGTTACAGAAGGTAAGGCACCAGATACTCCAGTGACACAGTCAATCAAAGTAAAAATGGTTATGCCCAGATAATGCTTATGTCAGATGTTGATAGTTTTATGTGTCCTACTCACCTGGTCATCTTAAAAGTGGTTCTAATGTAGAATAATTTTGCAGGTGCTTAAAAATTGTCTACCTAGTATTTTGAAGACTTGTCTCAATTCCTATGCTTAGATTTAGAACTAAGTAAAAAAACAATGAGTAATGTGACAGGTTTTGCCTCTCTCTCTTACCACATCAAAGTAGTTCATAATATCTCCTACAAAGAAGCACAAATTGGTGGAATTGAAAAGTTTGTGCTGTAATTCATGTAAATTATAAGATGACCTTTACTACCTGATTCTATCTTTTTTAAGCTATGCCAAACAGTGCGAGTTGTTTGAATGGTGAACAAAAACAATGCCACAGCTCATCCACCTACTCAGCAGTGGCATCAAATAATAGATCACTGAAAGATAAGTACAGTTGCATACAGTCTGTCTGACTCCCAGGGTGTAAAACTCAGCTTCTGTTAAAAAAATACAGAAGGATGGTGAGATGATGAATGGCAAATAGAAATTTACAAACTATGCCATTCAGAATTTGCTTTTGCTGCTATACCAGTTAAATAGCATTTGGGGAGAGGGGCAGATCTTGTGTCATTCTGAACTCAGAAATGTGACCAAAGTTAAAAGTAAATATTATTTATAGATAAACTTTATAATTCAAAAGCAGGTGAAAATATTCTTCTGAAAAATACATCGTTTTCTTCCTTTAAAATACAACCTGAGATATCCAGATTTTACTTTGAATTTTTTGCCCATATCATTGACATGTTGACAACTTATTAACTTAGGACATAATGCTGTAATAGATCAGAAGCATCATGACCATATGGAAATACAGGAGAAGCAGAGTAACTCCCTGCTTTAACATAGAGACATGTAGCTATATAGCTAGACATACAGCTGTGCCACATAAATCATCTGTACTCTCTTTTTTTTTCCAGAGAATGCACAAGATGTTGTACAGCATATTTTATACCTCTTGCCAGATGCAACACTGCACATGGAAGAATTAAAAATCATTACAAGTAAAATTTCTGATATCATAAGTCTTGCAGATATGAGCATGATACTTGCTGAGACTACATTGTCTATATTAAGCTATATTTTGCTGCAAGAAATGGAAGATCAGAACATTAGAAAAATGACCAATAGGTAAGTAAGATAACTTGCCCAGAAATGGCTTCCTAAGCTAAAGTGGCACCATGCAGGAGTTCAGTTTATTGAAGCACCACCACAAGAGTTAGTAATTTCTGTACTTGGATCTTAAAGAGGTTTGTGGTTCTTAGCAGTAGAGGTTGGCTCTTGTGTTGTCAGAGATTCCTTTCGCAGAACCACTTCTGCAGAAGTCACCACCACAGAGCTGTTCTCTCTGGGCATTCCAGCCTGGAGGCAGAGCAGGGAGACTGCCTAGCTGCCAGCTCACCTCAGAGGTGATCTTTACAGCTCAGCAGTGAGGTCTGTTGGCAGGTCAGCATGGAGACACGTATCTGTCCCACCAGCACACAGACTGGAGTGCGGTACCAGTGCTGATAAAGATTTTTCAAACATAGCTATGCAATGTTAGCCTTCAAAACCTACATTTAGGATCCTATGTCCATTATGTGATTCTCACACATGCTAAAATTGAGGTTGCTAGATAACTTTAAAAACATCTCTCTTCTTTGACATGTTAAAGGTAACTCAACAACCTGTTTTTGAAATGTGTGGCTCCTGTTGCTGAGCAGTGCACTGTTCAGAAAGCTACTGCCAGCCTTTACAAAGGCAAGTGCAAGTGCACAGGGTTTACTTGTTTCTGGTCTGGGCAAAACAGCTTGCCCACTTCTCACTGCGTGGCCTGAAGCTCCAAATAGGAAAGTTTATTCTACTTTGCACTGGCAAATTCAACACTAACCAACAGTCTAAGAGATGCCATATTCATCATATACAACAGTCTTTCAGCATCTCTCATTTTAAAGACTGTGCCCCTCTGCAATTTTTTCTCACTTAATGTAAAATGATATTTTAATAAGAAATATTAAAACAAATATCAAAATCAAGAAAAAGGAACTTTGCACTTAAGTTCTAGGTGGGCATAGGCAGCCCAGTTGCTTGCACTGGACAACTACGCATTGTCTTTTCAAACTCAAGACTCTGCAAGGAGGAGTAGCCAAAAATAGCTTGGAAAATCTGCCAGGGAGAAAGCATTGAGTAGCATCGTGATCCTTTTGGCTGTACGTTGTCTATTCAAAGTCTGCTGCTCTGCAGTGTGTGGCGTGGGGGCTGTGATAGCTGCCAGCACCCAACACCTCTGCCTTCTCAAATAGCCTGGGGGGGTTTTTAAGAGGAATATCCATCACTTCAAATTCTTCTCCTGTGAAATGGAAAGATTTAGGGACAAGGATGATATTCTAATAGAACCTGGATTCCTGAGACTTTATGGAGATAGATTTGGGATGTAAAAGTTGTAATAACAATGTCTTTACAGTTTTTTTGGTAGAATCTTAGTTATTTTAGTTTTTTCATAAATCATACCTCAAAAAGAGTATGGCCACTGTGATGTTGCCTAACAAGTGCTAGCATGACATCCTCACAAGGGCCATTATGCTCCTTCTTTCAGGCCTCAGCAGAAATTTTGGATCCCAGATGTTCTGAGGAACTTGAATTCCAGACTTTGCAGCTCTAGAGCAGCTGTGGCTGAAGGATCCCATGAGGTTCCTTGTGTGCCTGGGACTGACCATGCACAAAGATAACACCAGGCCAAAGGAGGACAGGAAGGATTTCTTTTGGTCTGTCAGAGCCAGCTGTCATACACGTTTTCAATAATTATCCCTTTTTGCATACTGTTGAATAGCCTTAAGGGAGGCCAGACAAGACATGGAGCTGTCTCTGACTCTTAATACCCATGAGCATTAAGGAACCCTAATTGCTGCTTCCTTTGAATTCCAGCCTCCTCTCCTTACTTAGGAAAAAAAACCCAAAACAACAATGACACTGAGAGCAGGGCCCAGAAAGCCTGTGAAATCTCATCCTCACAGATATTCAGAGCTTTATTGGACAAGACCCTGAGCAAGCTGAACTACCTGTCAAGTACACCCTGCCTGGAGGAGGTGGGGAGTTGGATGACAGGCCTCCAGAGGTCCCTTGCAGACAAAATTATTCTGGCTCTGGTATTTTATCTGAGGGTACAATTACATGTTTGAAAATAATCAGATTAACAGGTTTTACAAATTACTGCCTCCCAGATGAAATATAGTATTAATTTTGGGTGTGAATTTCAGCTCAGGTCTCCCTAGAACCACCTTACATTGTCCCCACAGGAGGGTATCTTCTACCTGCCTGACTTTCAGGCTGCTGAAACATGCTAACTCAAATGCTTGCCACCACCTGCCAGACAAAATGCCACCTTCCCCAAAATGAGCCCATTCTGCCCTAGCAATTGCTCCTTGTGATCATAAATCAGAGCAGAGGTTTTTAGCTGAATGTCTCCTGGATTCATATTATGAAGCCAGGAGAACATTTCAAGAAATTTATCTTTTTTTTTTTTCCCCCTCCTTTTTTTCCCCTTGCTGTTGCTCTTGGTAAAGTATCCTGAAGACAACTGAGAAGATAGGCTATAAGGTGACTTGCACAGAAAGAAATATGTCAGTCATAACCACTTCCTTGGCTTTGGTGGTGGTGCATCCAGATCCCAGCATGTTTGGAGGACTGGCTTTTGGCGTTACCTCCTACGACAGAGGCATGGATCTTAAGGTGGGAGCAAAGCATCAAAGGATACTTAACTGAGGAATCACAGACTAAACCAGATAATCCTGCTGCTATTTTATGCTGTTGTGTATTTGACCTGAGGAAGGCAGCTCTGAGTGTGTCTTCTCTCTCTCCTGCAGATCAATGTTCAAGAAAACCCTTTCAGAAAGGCCTTGGCCTCGGTGTTTTTGCCAAAATCACTGAAGAAATTCCTAGGGATTGAACACTCTGACCCAGACAAGCATTCAAAGATCCAGTTCAAGTTTTTTGGCACTACTTCACTCTTTGTGGTAACTATGACTCCTAACAAATGTTAATACGGCATTAATTAGTTCAGCTGTTCTTGGTGCATGCAAAAGAAAAATCCCAATAGCATCATCTCTTCTGGGTACATTTAACATCAAATGGAGAGAGCACTAAGAAATGTGCAGGGAAAATGTACCCAGGCAGCAAAACCTTCCCCATGGCAAGGCCGTTCTGAGAGGTGTTTGTAGACCTGATTTTCTGTAGCTGATGTTATTCTAATACTTCTGTTCAGCTGGAAGAGAACGTACCCTGGTCTTCCTTTGACAGCAAGTTCTTGCTTAAGGAGCATGCATAGTACGTATCAAATATAATGAAAATAATTTCAAGATTTATATCTCCATTAAAGAACAGCAGCACTGATATGCAGTGTTGAGGACTATTCTAGTGCTTGCTGTGTTTTAACTTGGGGTGGGAGTGTAATTTAAAAGGGCGACATTTCTTTCGGTATGATGGAGCATACAGTGTGCTGAGCTGTGGGTTTCACACAGAAGGAGCATTCACAATTGTGTCTACTGTCTAATGAGCTTAATGATGTACAACTAGATGTTTTGATGTACTGAAAGGATTATACAGCTTTCTCAAAGCAGCTGATGCATCTGAAACTCTGTTCTGCTTCGGCTGATGTGGAGACTGTTGCTGAATTTGCAACTAACTACATTTTCTATTGAAGTAGCAAGTAGCTAAATTACATCAGGCATCCCATAGTGTTTAGACGATTGCCATTTCCAACAAACACAATTTAAAAAAATGGGAGCAAGGAAGAACTTGGATTTTTTTTTACATGCTTTTTTTTTGCCACTGCAGGATGAGAGTTTAACGAAGCAGAGGTTGAATACTTACGTTGTGAGTGCCAGCATTGAAAATGCATCAATTCAGAACCTTAATGAGCCTGTGACTATTACTCTTCAGCACATAGACCAAAATACGGTAGGATGTGTTCATTTTATGTGAGGCATGTTGAAGCAGAGCCTATTTCACTTGCCTTACAATAAACTGGCAACAGGACAAATACACTTAAAGCATTTTGCTGCCTGACCTCTGCATGATAATCAAGCAAAACATTGACAGTTCAGAGAGATCTTGGTCTTTAATTCTTGCAGGTTAGTAAAGCTTTTGTCTCCTTTCTAAATCCATGCTTAGCAGCAAGGGATGTTTTAATTTTTTCCTTGTTTTGATCTGGGGAATCTTTTTCAAGGAATAGTTTATTGGCCAAAAAATGCCAGGTTTTGGGGTTGACTGAAATGATTTGTAGTTGCTCAGAATTCAGCAAATTGTTTTAGTTGCCAAAAGAAGTAAAATCAAAACATTTCATAGATATAAAAATTAATTTGTTTTGTTTTGCTTCAAAACTAAAATCTATCTTCAATCAGTTTTGATGGGCATGGCTCAAACTTCTGGACTGTGTTCCACCTTAACATTTTTGCGTGGCAACTGTTTATGCTCCAGCCTCCACACAAAATTATTCAATAAGATTAATTTGATTAAAGTTCAAGTTAATGAGAGCTTGAAAATG